TCAAGCCTCGTACTATTTGGCTTGGTTCGACTCGAATCCACCCCTACGTGCCATGCCGGCCCGACTCGTGGACCTAAAACCCCAGGCCCAGCACRGCCCGCAGACTATCGTGCCGGGCCAATCCAAATTGGTGTCAAGCCATGCTGAGCCACAGGTGGCATGACCCGATTTACACCTCTAARTGGAGAAAGAAGATCACTATCAGGAGTTGCAAGGACARCAATGATTTTGATTGATGAAGACAGAGTGGACCTGGGCGGCAAAGACCATACCGAAGAAGAATTAGGGAAGCTTTCAAGGGTAAAACAGACATTTCAGCCTTTCGTTAGTAGAGACAGCATCAGTCAATTGTCAACAATAGCGGTACATTTAGTCCATTAACTAAACGATAAGGGTAATTTAAAAAATTTACCCAAAAAACAAAATGACCAGCATCCAGTCACCCAGGTAAGCAATTCACCAGTTTGACCATTGGACCCAATCGAGCATTCAAGTCTTACAACACAATTTATGAACCCTGGATCAACCGGTTCGAACTGATCCAAGATGAAAACAAGAACGCAGAAGAAGAATCAGAAGCAAAAGCTTCTAATGCTTCTCAACCCCATTTGCTGAATTGTAGTATTTCGATTAATCTAAACCAGTGTTGTGATGTAAAATCAGAAAACTTACTGCATCACTGGTTTACCGGTTTAACCGATGATTGGGGGGGCATTTGGTAGTATGGAAACATTGTTATGTAGATCGTTCAGTTCCAATCACTGCAAATAAATCCGATTCAAGTCCAAAATCTATCCGTGGATACTTCCCTTGATATTAATAAATTGGAAAAGTTAATCCATTTCATTAATAGATCGAATTCGAATATATTATATTATAAATATATATATATATATATATATATATATATATATTATTTAGGGTAAATTTTTTAAATTACCCTTATGGTTTAGTTAATTGATTTAGTGTATCCTTATTTTTTGAAAATTGACTAACACTATCCCTGCTATTTTTGACAATTGACTAACTATCCCTATTGTTAACGTCCCTTAATGCTCCGTCACAATCTATGCACATATGACCCCACATGACCTATATAATTTTTTTAAAACCCAATATTGTCCTTGTATCTGAGCCCCCACTCTCTCTCTTCTAAGACCTCCCCATCCACCTATGTCTCTCTATGGTCTCTCTCCATTCTCAACCTCTCGTCTCTCTCTCCCCTTCGCCCCTCTGTTTTCATTCGAAGAGGGCTCATCGTCGCCACCGGAGCGAGAAGGGGGTGTCGTTGGTTCGCCGTTGTGTGCAGATGCGTCTTCACCTCTGCCTCTGTCTCTCTCTGGTCTCTCTCTCCATTCTCAATCTCTCGTCTCTCTCTTCCCTCCGCCCCTCTGTTTTCGTTCGAAGAGGGCTCATCGCCGCCACCGAAGCGAGAAGGGGATGCCGCTAGTTCGCCGTTGTGTGCAGCTGCGCCTTCACCTTCGCCTCTGTCTCACAGGACGCCATTAACGAAGAACTTGAGGTGGGTCGAGTACATGAGCTCGACGCACATGTCGATGAAAGTTCCGATTGCAACCACATAAAGCTCTGTGTACTTGAGCCTCCCATCGAATCCCAGTACAAGGTTCCAAACCCTAACCCTGAACCCTTTTGGGTTCTTTATGTACCTCACCATCGAGCTCCATATGTGCTAGATCCCAACCAGAAGAAACAACGTCCCTGGCAGAACGTGACCCTTGAATGATCCCATCTCTCCAACTCACCCACTTTAACCACTAATAAACTTGATCTCTAAGCTTCTTTATTCTTCTTTCCTGCTCATGATGGAAGATCAAAATCCCTGTTTTCTACAGCCCAACTGCCGACGTCTATTTCCCGGAGTGTTAATCCAAATTTTCCTGTTACAACGGCAAGGATTTCAAGATTTCTGCTCTCTATTTAAAATCATAAGTGATCAAAATTTTCAAGAATCGAACTTCTACCTTAGATTTTAAACCGAACATAGAAACAAAAATTCGAAAATTCTTTTGCTCTGTTTTCTAGGTTTTTTTTGTCACGAATACTTTGACCTCAT